ATATGATTACAAGTAATTAATTTTATCATTCTTAAGTCATTCTTGTAATAAATAAAATAGCAAATAAAAGGATACGATAAAACTCCTTTTTTTAAAATCAAACTTTCTTAATAATAACTTTTTTGAACACTTTTAAATATTAACTTATCAAAATAAAAATAAAAATTAGTGATCTTTTTTTTAAATATCCATTTATTATTGAATATAGTCGATAACAATGATAGTTCTACAAGTATAATGTAAATTATTTGCATACAAATAATTCTTATAATTTTGAGCAAGTAATAATTAGTAGAAATAATAATCTTGTCATTATTGCTGAACTTCAATAAATTTAATCCATTTATAAAAATCTGCTGTAAGTATAAGCCATTAACTTGTAAATTTAGTAAGTATAAGTAAGAAGTCTCAGAATTCTAAAGTACAAATAATAATTTTTCTTCCTTTCGAAAAATTAATTATAATTTTTAGTATAAATATATTAATTGTTACAAAGTAATTTTAATTCACGTACGCAATCGTAATGCAAAAACACCATGGAATAAAAATTACACGCTTCAGACTAATCATATTGAAATCGTTTTTCGTTTTAGAAACTTAACTACAAAGTGTGATTTTTTTTAATAATATGAACGTATTTGATACTACAAATTATATTCAATAGCTTACAAAAGTGTAAAAATTTTCTTTCTTTCAACAAAAATAACTTTTCATCTCTAATTATTAATACAACTAAAAGTTTATTATAAAATAAAAAACGATGTGATTACTGTTAATTTTTATTACCTGAACGTAAAAAAATTGCCATTATAGTACTTTTTTAGCATTTTTTCTTGCAAAAATCAAAAATATTTAGTATAACGAATACTAGATGCTATACTTAGTCAGCAGCTAACTTAATAAGTGTACTTGATAAATTACTTTAAGCTAAATGACTGTACTAAAAACGGAATTACTTTTGATGATTTAAGAAGTAACGAAAAAAAAGTTGTCGAAAAAAAGAGAGATATCACAGATGGCAAGTAAATATATACACAGTAACTTAGTATGAAAGTGAACTTTGCTTAACTTTTTAAAGCAAAAGGAAAGGAAGGAAAATTGCTACTGAACTTCTTTCCTTGGCAAGTAAGTAGCATTCCAAGAAGAAGTAGAAGAGGCATTGGCAGTAGCGGTGGCAGTAGCAGTGGTAAGTGGTAGTGGCGGTAGCAGTGGCGGTAGTAATGGTAGTGGCAGTAGCAGTGGTAGTGGTACTGGTAGTGGCAATAAAAGTAAGCGGTAACAATCACAGTAGCAATAAGAGTGTCAGTTGCAGTCGTAGTCACAGCAACAGTAGCAGAGGCAGTGGCAATAGTGGTAGCAGTAGTGGTAGCAGTTGTAGTAGCGGTAGCAGTAGTAGTAGCAGTAGCAGTAGCAGCAGCGGTAGCAGTACTTGGCAATATAACCAACAATTCTCGACATAAAGTACGTAGAGAGCAAATGGGAGGGTTGAAATTACATCGTTTTAACTTACTTCTCTCCACGCCTCCACCCCTTTAAGCTAAAACTAACTAACTAACTAACTAACTAACAAATAAGTAAATGTGTATGTAAGTTAGTCAGTAATCAAGTATTTAACTATAAGAAGTTTGAAGAGATAGCAAAAAATAGCAAAAAAGTGAATATCATCAACTGCACCAGCAAAAAAATTTTCCTCTACAACAATTGTCGTCATCATTTTGGAAGCAAACAAAAGTAGGCAAGGAAATGATGCTTAATTTTTTTAATAAATAAATAATACTGATGATGGTAGGGATAATGACGATCATTATGGTCATGGTAACACCAGTACTGATAACAACAATAATAATAGTAATAACAATAATTGATTATTATAATAAAAACAACAATAAGAATAACAATAATAATAATAATAATTATTATTACTATAATAATAGTACTAATAATAAAAATAGTAATAGCAATAATTGATAATTGATAGCAATGATAACAATAACAATAATTGATAATTGATAGCGATGATAATAATAATAATAATAATAATGGCAAAAATGATGTTTAGTAAAAGGGGGAAGATAAAGTTGAAGAAGGAAAAGAAGAAGCAAAAGTAGGAGAAGCTAATATTACATTCAACTAAAACTGGCGAAGTAAAAAATTTTTAGCAGAAAAGTTGAAATTACTGTTACATATTCAGAGCTTTTTTTTCACTAAATAATTCTAATTATTGCTTTAATACTTTTAATTGATAAAATAGTTACTGAAAATTACTACTATTTAACAGTTAAAATTACTGTTAAATAGTATTAATTTTTAAAATAATAAAAAGTTTGTTGAAATTTTTGTAACACAAAATAGTTAAGAAAATAAATGAAATAATATGTGCTTGCTTGTGTATCATATATTGTAATGGCGAGATGTTTATTTATTTGAAATACAGATGATAAAATTTTGCATATATGCAAATATGGAATGGAAGTAGCAATAGAAACGCAAATTTCAGACAGATATTTTTGATAATTAATGACTGCAAACAAAACTAACATAAAAAGATGATCATATGTTGAGAGTGAAGCTAAGGAGTAGATGGACTTTAAACAGTGATAAATTTATTACGGATACCGGTAATCATTTTATTACAATGCATTCGTAATCAGTTTTAACAGTAAGCTATTTACTATATATATGTAATCCAAAAAATTGATGCAGTTATGATCTGAATCAATTTGAACTGCAAGTAAGTCACACTCTCATACCCATTTAAAGTCATAATTTGTTAATACATGAATACAAACAATTCATGTAGTAATTGATCTATTGTAATTATCAATTCAAGAAGAAATTACTGATTTACTTTGCTAATCGAATATATGATTTCATCGATGCTAGTCATAATTTATTACTGCTTATATTCTAGTTTAGTGATACTGCTAAGTTGAATTCATGCCTGATATTGAGAATCAATTTAAGCTGTAATCACTAAGACAATTTTACCCAACTTATTATTTACGTCAAAGTTACAGTATCATCGTATTAAAAATAGTTGAGTGTACTGTATTGATTTTTATTCAGGAACTGTATTCTTAGTGCAAGCGATTATTAAAGTATCAGGCAATTTATCACTAATATCAGTAATCGATATTAGCTATCAATAAATGTTAATGCATCATCGATATCGAAAACAATCCTGGACAGTAGAGTGATGTACCGTTTTATTGTACTTCATGAATTTCTACAGTGATACAATGTCTGATTTACAATGACTGTAACTACAATTACTTATCAGCGATAACTGTATCTTTAACTGATAACTTATTATCGCCTATACAGTAGTTAACTTTAGTTTATTACTTAATTTATTAGTGCAGTATGAGTAACGAATATCAGTAATCAATTAATAATATTAGTAATCATTTTTTTAGTCATAGATATCCTTATCACAAGTTAAGGATACTCTTGATCAATTATATCGTTAACTTAGTTATTAATACTTACTTAACCAAGCAAATATACTAAAGGTGAATCACGAGCGTTAAAGTTATTGATAGTGAATGCAAATAATGCTTATGATTAAGCGGATAAGTATGCTGTTCCATGTATTTTTCCAGTAATGTAAAATGTCATTATTAAAATTTTTGATTCCAACGAATCATATAGGCACTTGTTTTCTAATTTAGTGTAGCTAATAAGTAATTGTTACGTGTCAAAAAATCCTTTATATCGCATTTCTATTTTGTTAATAAGCATTAACTTATTAATCCACTTATTTGCTACCAAAAATTGTTTAAAATTATCGATCTGATAATTATTCAAAAAATTATCGATTTGATAAATATTGTAACTTCCAATTTATTCGTCAATAATTATCAAAATACCCGTTATTTCTAATTTATTACTCATAACTTAATAGATCTTAATCAGAGATTTTGGAAAATTTTAACTTTACTTAACTCGAAGACAAACAAACAAGTTTTTAATTTGAGTTTTTATGTTTATTTTACATTTTTTTAGTTCAAAAATTGAATAAAAATATTTGTTTTATTTTGTAATAAAATCATTAAATCTTATCTGTTGAAAAAATTACCACCAAAGTTTTCTAGCAATTATTTATCCATTTTTGAAAAAATTTTTGTCACTAATAAAAAAGATAAAATAAGCATATTCTAATTTTAATTTATTAGTCTAAAAAGACAAAATGAATCTCAAAAATTTCAAAAATTTATTACACTATTTTAGCAATGATTCTAACCAACTATCAACTATGAATTTGTTATTACTATTCTGAAAAGCCCAAAATAGGACTGATGTATGATATCAAATGCAAAAATTATTATCGTTGATGACGATGACAGCAATAATAATGACGATTCCTCGTATATTTTGTTTATATTTGCGAGAAAAAAGTAATCATGAATTCAGGCAGCAAAAAAAAAAAACCAATATTCAACAATGAATGCTACACAACGCAATTGTGGGCACATATTTTTGCTATATAAAGTTGCGCAGCAACAATTATCCATCATATTAAATTCGAATTTTTTATTCCAATCAATCAATAAAAAATATTAATTGATCAAAATAATAACTGATCATTTATTCTTAATCACTTAAAAAAGTATTCAATTGAAAGAAAAAATCACCCTGAAAGAAATTTTTTTTTAATTTATATTTAACCTTTTCTAGTAATTAAGAAGAATTAGGTTTAAACATGAATCGGATCATATCAGATTGTATGACTTGTGAGATCAGATCAAACTGATAAACATGTTTATTAATTGATTAAAATAATTTGAATTCACAAACGACTGAAGTTATCACATTAATACTTTTAATACAATAAATATTTTACTAAAATTATTAATTGTAATATCTTCGAGAACAATGATCACATATTATATATTATTACTTGTTAACAAATATTCTTAACTAACATCACAGACTGTTTTCAAGTTTGTACCAATATTTATCTATCTTGTATTAATTGGATTATTGAAATTGATATAAGCAAATGCTAACTTTGAATATTAAATCAAAAGAATGAACAAAAAAATCTATCAATTATATATTTTTTTATCATATCAATAAAAATACAAAAAATAAAAAATTTTTATACACTTATATAACTAAGTAGAGTAGAGTACAAGTAAGTGATATAAAAATATTTATAATATTTATCAGTTCGGTTATCTTTTTAACACATTCTACAATGTTTTGTCTAAGAGAAAATGCATTTTTACATAAATGTGCGTGCTATAAATATGTTTAGTTTAAAAAATAATAAAGATGGAAATGTATAGCTAGCTGATATGGACAGGATATGGGTAAAAAGCAGTTAAAGTTTTATATGAATAATACACATTTTAGTCATATTTTGTTAACATTTTTACACTTGAAAAGATGAAGAAAAAAAATTTAAAACTTTTACAATATGAATTAGATGAAAAAAATTTATTATTATTATTATTATTTTAGACTGATTGAATAAGAATATTATTTTCAATCTGTAAAATGCAGCGAAATAAGCAAAAAAAATTTGAAGCAAAAAAACAAAAACAAACAAAAATATATTGAAACACTAAAACACAACTACCAACCTATTACAGCATTTTCCGCTCTTCTGTTTTATTTCAGGCCAATCATTTGAATAGTTTTGTACTCAATTTTAGATTAATCATATTTGAATCTATTTTTTTCTTATTGTTTTCAATCATACACCAATCATAATGCATGTTACAAGATTGTCATCTTATTAAAATTTCACTTTTACTACTGTAAAAAGATAAAATTGTTTGAAATAACAAGTTATAAGCTAATTCTGAGAAAAAAATTATCTAAAAATATGATAATAACTGGTATTTATCAAGTACTGCTTACTTATCATTTAAATGCATAGCACAGTCATTTATGTTGATGTCAGAATTTATTATTTACTTACAAATGCAGTAATGACTTTATTTGATAACATTTAGCATTATTGTTATATGATAGAAATTTAAATCAAATTACTGTAGGACTAAACAAATTGGATTATATAGATGATGCACTTGACCCCGCATATGATCAAAATTATAGATAGTAAAAATTAACAGTGATAAAAGTTGACGTGGCATAAAAAATTGATAACGGTAATTAAATCACCATATGTAAGGATTGCGATAGTTTTATGAGATAGTAGATCCCTTGTGAGAACACTAAAATATAAAATGAAGTGTAAAAAAAATCTAGATAGTTCCAGTAATTTAATTTCTCTACTGAGTACATTGTAACCTTTGATCTTTTGACTTCATGATTACGACTCCAACTTCATGATTATCAAACAAGCTATCTTTGAAAAAATGATTAGAAACAAATGAAAAGTGTTTCTTTCCCATGTAAATTTACAATTATGGACGAGTAAAAAAAGTGATGAATGACAATCATAGAGGTGTGAGCTTTTCTTGATTATGGACAAGATTCTTGTAAGAAATGTGAAAAAATACATAAGTAATAAAGTGTATTGACCCTGCATCTATTAATCATTATTTTATTCAAATTCAGAAAATGAAACAATGTATTATACATACCAAGATTATCGAAACTATAGTATGTAGTGAATCTCAATAATGTAACTTTTAGAATCTCATCTCAAAATATTACTCTACAGTCTTAGAGAATTAAAAATATCATGCTTAACACAAAGTTTAATTATTAACATGTTTTCTGCTACAAATAATGTGAAGGATGACCTTCTAAAATAGTGTTTCTAAGACCTTTGCATTACTAAACATATGAGCACTACTTTCACAATGTAATTGTAGTTCTTCAATCTTTTTTATTGAATTTATGATGTTTATTACTGCCCGTTACATATATGCCTATATATCAAAACTTTTCTGCATCTCCCCATTTCTGAGATGAAATTTTGAACGCACCATCTGAAAATTTATTAAAATCACGGAAACTATTCGTCACAACCTTATTAGGACGACGCAAAACAGTGTAGCTTTGTTGAGTTTTATCATTACTGCCTTCCTCGCTTACTTTTACTGGATCTCTGAGTATCGTAAGAACAGCTTTCTTCAACCCATTATCATTTTTGGGTCCTTTTCCTGAATTTAAATAATCTAGTTGTTTTAAGTGTTTGTTATTATCTTGTAAGTTCAACACACCTATCAAAGAATTTTTTCCATGAATTTTAGTTTTCTTCGATTCCACGTTATCCTCTGCTTTAATAAATTCCTCTATTACAACATCATCACTTTTATTTGAGTTTAAAATATTCATCTTTGAACTGTATTTGTTTTTTGCAGGATCGAGCGTCGAAGCATCCAAAGACAAAGATTCCACTTCATTAGCTAATGTCAATATTACTTCTTCATCATCAATTATGTGTTTTCCTTGAAATTTTTTGATATTCTCGTAAAAATCACTATTTTGAAATGATATAAATGCATAACTCTTGTGCAAGCCTGTTTTCAAATCCTGAAACGTAAATACTTCTTAACCAAATATGGTAGCTGAAAGAAATAAATTACAATTTTACTTACGATTTCCATTAATTTATCATGAGTTAAAAATCAAGTACGATTCTCAGTATTGACACTTGAATTAATCATTGTGTATAGTACCACATACTTTATAGCAATAAAATATTGAACTGATTTACATGATAATCAAAAATAATTTTCGTTTTGTTTAATCAAAATAGAACTTACAAATGGCAAAGTAATGTTGGTAATTTTCCCAAATTGAGAAAAATAATCTGACAGTTCTTCTGTAAAAAGGGACTTTTTATTTTTAAATTCACTGAATATTTTTGATTCCATTCATATGAAATTAAACATTTATTATAATGATATGCAAACACATTATTATACTAAATAGGTAACACAAAAAAATTACTTGCACCAGTAACCCAACTGATTCTTTTAACGAAAAGATCTTTGCTATTTCGATGAGCACTATTAAATGTTTTTTTAACAGCTGTACCAGCTTTTCCAACTAAACGCGATGCCATTTATCTGGAAGTAAATTGATGCATAAAGAATGACTCATATAAACAAGACTGTAATTAAAGCAACATAAAACACAAAGAAATTGTTATTAATGACTTACAACACAATCAAAGAGAATTCATCCGCTATTAGAAACTGTTACATATTAAAGGAAGAAAAATCACAAAGAATTAAGAAGATGGATTAAAACACAAAAACCTGAGATAAGCTAGAATGAAACAATCTAAAACGTTTTTATTGCTGATTTTTATAACGAGGTACTGCAATCTTCGCAACAGCCTAAAATGAGTTTAATAAAATGGAAGCCTTAAAGACGTCAATTAGTAACATTGCAAATGTTCAACAGAAAAAAAACAGATCTGTAATTTGTTTCACTAAAATTCTCAAATACCACAATGTAAGTGATAACTTTTTAATGTCATCTAATTACTTAAACATGATTATACTGTTTACTGACTATGACTCCTTGAATTATTGATGAAAGGTTCTTGAACAATTTGGAAAAAAAAGACTCTAGCAGAACGCATCTTGTCGATCATGTAATAAAAGCAAATTTTTCAATATAGTGAACTATACTCAGATTTTTCGACAAGTTTCAACCCTTTTTACATTTATCATATAAATAACAAAACAACCACTTTCTGCTAAACTTCCAAAGAAATTACGATTACCATATCTTCGGTTTAAATAACTCCAAAAAGATTTACTTTTCGCCTATCAATGTGATGAATTCCTTGTTGTACAACTTTTAGAGCATCTTCAATGCATTCAAATGTAATGAAAGCATAACCTTTATGTAAGCCAGTTTCTTTTTCCTGAAATTTGCTAATAAAAAATAAGGAGGTTTAGAGTGAATCCAACAAACTAGGATCCTTTTCAAATCCGTTTCAATATTTTTGAGTAAACTTACATATACTAATTTGACGTGCTGCACTTTCCCAAAGCGACCAAAATAATTTTCCAAATCTTCTAAAAAATTAATAAAATGCAAAGACCAATTTCCAAACAATATGCTACTTCACAGAATTTATTGAACTAAAATTCGACATGAACGAACTTTCACCGGTGAACCAATTGATATTTTTTAATACTATACGAGCAGATAATGGTGATAAGATCTTCGTTGAAAGAAACCTTATTCCAGTCGACCACTTAACACTCATCCAAGATTTCCAAGCCCATAAAGCATAAAACCTAGCTAATAAAGATATCTGCTATTTTCATGTAAAAACACGATAAATTTGTTACAGCTAATACAAACACAAAAATATCAAACAAGGTACTAATAAAAAGAAACTAAATTGAAACCTAAGCACAAATTAAACTAAGAAATTAATGATGATATTATGAATCACATCTCACTTCATACCACAATATAAGGATTGTGATTTCTAGAGTAAATTTCAAAAAATATTTTATGAAACCTAACAATGAAATGCAGTTCAATATATGCTTTACAGATATTTAATTTATCAGTTTATTGACAAAATAATACAATAAATGACAGCGATACTCGTCGGATATTAATATAGACATGCATAGACCAGCCACATTTTCCTATGATAGTTTACACAATTAACTATATCATACACAAGATGATTTGCATTATATACCTTCAGTATACAAAATTGGCAATTGATAACTTTCATAGGCATGTTCTTCTAAATGAGTTCTATCATGCACTACTCCAATATAGTCAATTTCGAGCGAAAAATCACCGTCAATCCTATCCATCAACATTATTAATAATGAACTGAAATTGGTAAAATTAAGTCTATAAAACTTGTAAATTTTTTCAAACACACCACATATTTAACGATTTAAGATGTAACACTATAAATCACATTTGCCCACTGTATGAAAGTTACATAAAAATGAAATTCAAAATGCATTTTCAACCGCATTCCATAAATTTATTTTACATACCTCACATTAGCGTTGTTAACCGGATGCTGTCTATCCATAATTCGATTTCGTATAGTGAAAATAAACTTTGAAAATGGAATAGCTTCATATTGCCAGTAAGGACCTCCATGTGTATGAAGATAGTAGCTATGAGAATTACCCCATGTAACATCAAGAAAGAGCGGTGAATTTAAAATGATTTTGTAAGTGCGTCCATCACCACGGCACTAGGAATTTTTTGCATGACGACTTTAATAACGTAATAAGATTCACCTTTATTTAAGCAAAATTCGGCTGCTTTCAAATATGAAAAAAAATGTAAATTTGATGATTTTGAAACAAATATGAGTCCTAAAAATGCAATAATTAAATTAAACCTTTATTAGAAAATGAGAATAATTACACCATTTTCTGAAATATCTTTTTCTAAAAAAAGGTCCACGTTCTTCAAATTTGATTGCAGCCCATCCTGCCCGCTCTACCTTTCCATCCTTGGAAATAATATCAAAAATTAATATAACCCTAAGTACAGCAGTAATAAAGTAATTTATCAGTAGTATAAAAATGGAAAATTATTCAAAAATTATATAAAATTACTAAAAACTATACTTACTTTTAACAACTCCGTGCTTAAATTTCCTCTAAATAATGCTGTTTTACGGTCAGTAGGTATAAATTCACATTTAGAAAATCCTTCATTACTATCCGAATCAGCACCAGTTCTCCAACATTTAAACGACTGGAAAAAGTCGTTCATATTACATCTCATTTTAATTTCTCTTTATACAATTAAGTTGAATGTTTGTTGAGATTTACGAAGTGAATTGAAAAAGTAAAATAAATTAGCTGCAACCTCCGGTGTCTTAAATAAGATATCTTTTCGAAACTGACCATGACGCAAATTACCAAAATCTTCAAGAATACTCGGTTTAAAAATGCCAAAATGACTTTTCACATCCTTACTCACTTCCTAAAAAAAACACAATGATACTTATTCCAGACTTTGATGTCTAGAATAAATATCGCGAAAAAAATATCTTTAGGATTACATGGGTAAAAATGAATGTCATATACAAAGGCAATTTAAAGTAGTAAAAATCGATTAATATAACAGTCATATAAATGAAGCATTATTAACTCGTTTAACTTAGTTAAAAATAATTCCACATTAAAATAAATACAAATTTGGAACTAACCACTGCATTATCCCATATAAAGTGTGGCATCTCCATAACAATATTCTTTAAATCTACTTCAGGATCAAAATTGGGCTTCATAAATCTATTAGGGTAATTAAGATTAATTGGTTGCGGAGGTACTGACGTTCTGAACATTGACGGTACTGTTTTTTCATGTTTCCCATCAGTTTCCTTCAATAACCAAAATTTACAACATAAAACTTCGAGACACTTATAATTCAAAATCGTGAAAATCGGAGAAATCATTTCGTAAACAAAAACCGTGAAGTTAGCTGGTAGATCCACTTTATTTTTAGGTTGTAACGATGCAGTGGACTTCTGGCATAAGGATACCACCAATGGTTTGTAATAATGCACAGCTGACATTACTGCAATGCGTTTCAACGACATTGCCGATGGAATTAAAGAATATGCAACATAAATTCTGAAAAAACGTCCTCCTGAGCCATTAATACCACGAACGCCAGTAATTAACACTAACACACTACTTTTAATACAGAAAATAAAAACTTGTTGTCCTCTACAGTTGAGGTTGAAATTACTACTAGTAAACGACCAAAAACCCTTTTCTAACGATCACCAATATCATACTCCAGCCCTTTATCTCAACTGATAGCCTAGTCCATAAATCAGCCTATCAGTTGCGAGACAGATTAACGTTAAAAATTTACAGATGCATTTGTAGCAACAAATGCTGACGTACCACAGAAAAAAACAAACTTTACTTGGATTATTACGGACTCTACTCCTTAAAAGTGAATTTACAATTTTGTATTTAATAAGAGTAATGTAAGATAGGATTTCTGAACAAAAGCCTCAAATATTTTTAAAACAGCAATAAATAACTACACAAGAATGAAATGCCTGTAACGTCATAAAGGAACAACAAGAAAATTTTAAATTTTTATTAACGATCACTGAAATTTACAAAGTGACGGTATTTTGCGAGCTATTTGAGTTTTCATCTGTACATGACAAACCGATTCTTGGGGAGATGATAAAACAAGAATTATCAAGGAATTTAATGATGCAAAAGAAATCATCTGCTTAAGTGCATCATCAACAGCATAAAGAGGTGCCCCATCTGGTTCGCTGCACAATTTGGCTACGTCAAAATCGACCATCACTATATCATGTGAAATCACTTCTTCGTTAACACGTCTGACCAAATCGTCTAGTGAGTTGTAACTATCAGTATCGACAAACGTCTCACTTGAAAATAGACATATCACAATGAAAATTCTACTAATTTAGCGCAAATAAATTCTGATTAATACATGAGTGTATTTATAATTTTAATAAAAACAAATGTCATTCCAAAAAAAATAAAACAAACTGTTTATTGCTGATGAATTTTTTCATGTATCCGGGAAGGGCATAAAAAGCACTTTTGTTTTTTTCCAGTTGCAAATGATGTGAAATAGGTTTAAAACCATTAATGACATTAGCTTCAAAAACATCGCTGAAATAAACAAGAAATTTTTACGAAGATTCTATATTTGATGAAGAAATCTAATACCAATATGAAAGTAAGAAAAAGAACAACAAAGTAAATTTGCAAAAAGTTAGATTATAATGCAATCATTTAAATCATTCTAAAATATTTCTTTAACAATTTGAAAGAAGAAGCAACGTAAGGTTAAAAATTTTTATTTACTAATTTATGATTAGTAAATGATTAAAAGATGAAATAACCTCCAGTGAAAAGTTGACTCATTTGATACATGTGGTATTGAAGTATGTAAACAACAAATTACACAATATTTCACTACATTCTGTTTGCATGCACAGTTAGGCACAATGCATGCAACAGATAACGGTCTGCGACATTTATCACATTTATGTATTATATTTTCCTGTAAACAGCAGTATTAAGTTACACTTGGCTTTAAAAAAAATCAAAATAACTCTTGTAATCAATGTAACTCACAATAACAAAGATTTTCCAAGAAGTATTGTTTCGAGATCGAATTAGAAATTGCAAAAGTTACAAATGAGTCAAAAGACGCTGAACGCAAGATGCAAAACTGACCCATGAAATGAAAACAGATTTCACAGAGAAAATAATCAGAATTACTTACAGATACCTCATTATTCAAGCATAGCTTCTTTCGTTGATTGATGTCAACATTTGAATAAGGTTTAACTTTATCTTTAATAATTGCTCCGGAAGTACTGATACCATTTGCCAGAGCCCAACGATTAAAACTCCAACCCATAAGAACATTCCCAAAGTCGACACTGGATTTTATACATGCATGCTATTTTAAAATGTACGCAAAATATTTTTAAAAAAAATGCTAAAATGGTCTTTGAATGGAAAATTTGCATAAAATGATCACCCGTTCGACAATTTATACTTGAGTAAGCGCATCGTAATAGTTGCATCTTCGACAGAACAGTGCCCATTTTCTCTCTGAATCTCTTCACCCAAAAATATCTTTGCCAATGTCTGCATTAATGCATTAATATATCTGATTCAGAAATTAATAACAAGTTATTTAAATTTACACTGGACCGCAATAATTTCTTAGAAAAATGTATCAAATATTTTGAATTTAGCACCAACAAAATGTATTCTTACATAGTTATTGAAAATTCAATGCAACATTTTTCTTTTTTAAAGTAAACTTATCGGAATAAATAAAGTCTAAAATGCAATGATTTATTACTTTCAACGATGATCGCTGACGTTCATCACCAGACAAATTCATACACAAAGATATATCAACACAATATGGATGTGTGATGCGCAATGCATTAAAGTCACATTCAAGAGTATGGCCAACTAAAATCGCATCACTGGGTAAAATATGTGAAAGCGCTTTCTGAAAAAGAATAAACCCTCTATTTATTCGTTTATTTATTAAATTTCTGCTTAATAAAAGACCGATATCATAATAATCTGTTTGCAGGAATAGTTGAATTGCACATGCTGAAGTGTATAAACAAAAAGCTACTGTACAGTGAAAAAGTGAAACTTGAGGAGTCTTTAAAAATAGATTTTCGACGCGCTGTTCGGAATATTGCTAGACAGAAACTGTCATTTAGAATGATCCATTACAAATTTTTTTTGAGTGAGAATAATGCATGAACTCCTTGCCATGATTTATATAGCAGAACAAATGAAATAAAATAGATGAAACTGACTTGTACGTCATCAATTCGAACATCTACATCCTCTAGCATTTGTTCAGTAATGCCACTATACTTCGTCACGTAATCAGTTATTTTATTCCTTGGTTTCACCAGAGTATCCAGTAAAACTTCATAATTCTCGTTCACCTTACAGAATTAAATTTAACACGAGACAAAATTAAAACACTTGCCACTTTTTGAAACAAAATTATATAATGAACTCACTACTGATATCCTTGTCAGTTCACTTTCTCCTCTTTCAGTAGTGCACATTTCACAATCAATTGCAAAAAAGGGTGAATCATCTCTCAACGAACTATACTTCTCCTGAAATATTAATTCTCTGCTCACAAGAAAAGCTAAACAAGATTGGAGACATGAAAATAATTAGTTCAAAATAAAAAAGCACCCTATCGCAAAATATGAATGCATGAAAAAGCAACATTTTCACAGAAATAATAGTGCTATTATGGAAATTATTAAACCATATATTACGTACTTTTGTTGGTACAACCGGAGGTAAAGAAAATTCTTCAACATACGGAAGATTCGTTGTTGGAAAAGGAAAACAACGGTTGACCATCTCTCGCAAATCAACTAATATTTTACGATTCATATTCGAATTAATGTGTCTTTCTAAAACACCTGCATTCTGAAAAAATTCTGCTAATATTCTCTAGCCATGGAAAATGATTAAAAAATTAACACATGTATTAAACTTGAAAAAATTAAAACTACTTTTAGAAGAAGTGGTGTAAAATGAGATATCAAGAAAACAATATAAAACTTACGTTCAAAATTTTCTGCACACTATCAAATCTTGACACTGAAACATTCAACATATCTGCCCAAAAATCAGCTTTATTCCAAGATTTTTCTAGCATATAATTATGAGTATTAATTCCAAAAAATTTTTCCATATAAGTATTTTCTTTACCATCAACCTAAAAAAGCAATAGAAAGCATCTAATGCACCCGCTTATCCACGAATATAAGGATGAAAAGTAGTTTCATCAAAAAACCCTCACGAAAAAAAGCCTTAAACTTTGGAATGCGAAACCGACAGTTCTGTAACATAATTCTTTTAAAAAATGATATACAGTAAATTAACTAACCACTAATTCAACGTCGCAATTAAATCTAAATACAACCGTCTGCAGAACCCCTCGACTTGGTTGTACAGCAATCCAAAGAGGCTTCTCAACATTTCGAAACGTAACATAATGAACCAATTCCGCAATGTCGAAAAATTTTTCAAAATTTATCACAGGAAAAAGACTTGCACGTACATTATATGCATTGCTATTTAAAGTGATTATTTTCGCTAAAAATAACCGATAACAAAAACAAAGAAAAAACTCACTACGACTTCCAAGATCTAAACCATTCAATCCATTAAAACTCATGCTGATTTTTGGAGGATTTTTTAAATGCCGCATTGTTCGAAGTCTCTTTTGCCATTCCGAAAAACTATCTTCCTCTGAAACATTTTTATCAAATAAATTTTTAAGTCTCATCATAACAGCATTAATAATATTTCCGCAAAGGAGCTAATCGAGAAGGCAGTTGTATCAGATTAGGCTTAAAATAACAAAAGACAAACTTCTGAATCTGAATCACCAACCGTTAGCTGAATTTTCCAAAACTGACTGAGACGTTTCTTTTATCAGAGACGGATCACCCTCTTGAACCAATGCCGCTTCATTTAACTCCTTTCGCAACTGTTTCCACTTGCGTTTTTCTTTCTTCTTTTGTGCTTTTAACATCGAGCTTTACTTACCAGAAACAATCCTTTCCTTAATCTGAAAAATTTATTAATATTAATGTGACATTTATACTGCAAAACCAATCAACGAACATACGAAAACATAAGAATTACACAACTTTTGACAACTTCAAGACATGAAATCATACTTTAACATATGACATGTTCGTAGAGTACAAACTAAGCTATCATAAAATTTGTTTTAATAATGGCATTTATCTTAAAAAGCATTTTGAAATGATATGCACACATGATCAAATAGCTACAAATTACAGACTGCGAAAAACACCACCAACTAGCAAGAAAAGAAGATATGCTAAAACACTGAACAAAAGAATTTATAAATTGAAAATGCAGAATATAAATTTCTGAAAATATTGAAGTAAATTTTGAAGTATCTTTTGCACTATCCTATATGAACTAAATGATCTTTATATGATAACAGAAAGTACAACATTCAACTTGATGGTCCACACATGTTTTACAATAAACAATAACAAATGTCAGATATCAATATTGTTATCACTATCACTTTTTTCATTTTTCATATCAGCACCTTTGACAAGCTCAAGTACATGATTTACAGGTCGTAAATGTCCATCATTATCGACCTGACCTGGAGTTATCACTCCCTTATTCATTAGCTCGTTGATATCACTCATTAATCGATGCACTTCATACTCTTTTTGATCGTCTGCCATTCCAGCAAAAGGATTCATTTTTGTAGATTCAATGCATCCAGTAACTGGATTTATTTGTGCTTCCACTGCTTTATAATCTTCTGTTTCTGAAGACTCACTATCCGACAAATGTCTAGACGCATTCAAAGCTCCCAAAATACCACGATTAACCAGTAACCCAGCTGCATGACCAAAACCACAGTATTTTACAAAACGATTAACATTTCTCTTGCACAAAATAAATATGAATTCAGCAGCTAAATCTCGCGTAATAGACATGCTCATCATCAAACGAATCATACGATTACGCAATTCGTTACCTTCATCTGGTCGTCGCTCAACATCAGTTGCATGGAGAGGTGGAATTACTTGCAAACGCAAATAACGCCGAACTTCTTGTACCCGTGAACACAAACTAATGAGAACAGTTAAAAATGTACCAAGTAATTCAATTTCTTCATTATTTTCCGTATCTAAACGCCTCTTCAATGCTTGAAGTAAAGTACAGGTAAAAGTCATATCTCGTCCATTGTGAACAATCATTCTTGGATCATCTTCTACTAAATGCTCCAATTTTGGTACCAATAATTCTATAAATAACGGCATGACAGCAATTATATCCACTGATGATTGCTCAATAGACGAATCAACTTTTTCCAAAGTCACGAACTTTGAGCAAAGGAATATACACTTTTCAGCATTTGGTTCAACAATATCACTACTCGAAGAGCTAAATATATTAAAAAGAATTTTCAATGTCCAATTTGTACGTTCTAGAAAAGTTCTGCATTTTGAATTTTGCTGTAAGCGTTCCGGAAATTGCAAACTCTGCTCCAGTATTCTCAGATACACTTCACAACCACCATTTTTAAGCCACTGCAACTGCAACTGTTTTGAATATGCACTTGCAACAAATGCAATGCGGAGATCGTAAAAAGTAACAAGATCTACTTGCTCATTATTTAAATTTTTAAATGGAAATTCACATTCTGATATTTTCGGATTAGTATTATCCTGCACGGTATGACTGTTGCTGGAGTGCTCATGTATGTTTGGAATATTAGTGCAAAGACTAATTCGCTGAAGTAGTAATTTTGAAGAAATATCGCTGAACTCATGTCTAGCAAGATTACTATTAAAAAGTAAATTGATGAGACACATTTCAGCTTGAATAAAAACCTCCCAATCGAATTGGAAAGACTGCTTGACTAACATATCCGCAGCGAGAACTTTCTGCATTAAGTGAGAAGACAATAACTCGTCTAAATTATTCTTATCACGAGCCGAAATCCGAAGAAAACGTAGTATTTCCTGACGAACAGCAGACGATTCATGAAATCGTTCACAAAAAATTGATTGGATCTGATGTTTTCTATCCATCTCAAAAAGGTCGAATGTTCGACCACCTTCAAAATTATCATTGATTCGTTTTAAACTGCCAATAAAATTACCGACAGATGTTTGCTGCCATTGCAATATATCCTCTTCTGTTACATCATCCATTTCTTCAAAGAAGCATTGAAGTAGTTATTGGCGCTCTTATTTATAATAATTCCTTTAATTCAATTAAAATTAGTAAATATAAAATAGCGACAACAATGATTTGGAAATCCGGCAACAAAATGAACATTTAATAATAGATTAAAAGAAATTAAGTGCAAAAGTTAACCAATTTATCTATTCCTTGCGTGAAGAAACAGAACGTGTCAATTACCAAATTACTAACTACAAACCTATTCCAAATCACATAAATTATTCCTGGATTTACAACGGAAATTCACATGTTTTACACAATTGCCACATCTTATCCAGATAATAAACAGTAAGGGCTTCACGCAAGTGAAGTACATAACCAAAATAGTTTGCTGGAGAATGATTTACAAATTCGACACAAAATATGGAATCAGAGCAGTATAAACAACATAAGTATTAATAAATACGCGATGAAGTCAAAAGCTACTTGTCCAAACGGTTATCCCTATATTTATCTAACGCGTTACTCAGGTGTCATCGCAAAGTGAAAAAGTTATAAGGTTGTTTGCTAAATAGCCAAACATATCGACAACACCTGGTCTTACTTTGTTGTTTTTGGTAAATGACCAAACATATCGACAACGCCCAGTTTTATATTGTTGTTTTTGCTAAATAGCCAATCATATTGACAACGCCCATTTTACTTTGCTATTGTTTGCAATTCATAAATTATTGGCTAACGTAAAAATCATTCTTTTGAATTTATAACTTTAATATATATTCGGTTACATTTGTTTACTTAAATTTGTACAATATTTTGCTATTGTATAACTGACTGTTCATGCCACTTAAATGTTGTTTTACGTAACTTTTCTGTCTTCCAATTCTCTTCACATATAGTATACACTCAGGAGTTGAAGATCTTAAAAGGCTAAGCAAATACGTCAAGCGCGTGGTTGGTATTGATTTACGAATGGCAATTCTTTGGAGGCTTGTAAAGTTGGATTTTTATTTATTTGTTATCTCTTTTCTATAGCAGTTTATGGCTTACTCAGTTAAATGAATCAGATTGGATGTATAATATAATACGCAATTGGAGATGAAATTTAAATAATTTTCCTTTAATATGCATAATATTGAATTAGACAAATTAGAATTAAAGTTAACAGTTTAAAATTCTCATGAACATAAGATAAGATTCTTTAAGCAAAGTATTATGGAATAAATTCACAGTCTAAGTAGCTTGGAACTACTAGCACAAATTTAGTGCAAGCAATTTTTATGCCATGTATTTAAAATAATTTAGTGCAACAATTTCATGTTATAGTTTTAGTGTACTTATTATCTCATTAATATTTGCATAAGTAATTCCTGTTTCTCTCTCAAAATAATCTAATTAAATGTAAAATTTTTTTACTGTTGGAAAAGTTTAGCACTCAAAAGTTTGAAGTTTGAATTGAAAACAAAAATTGAAAATATCTGATCTTTTTTTAAACTTCTGAAAAAATTGCAGCATATCATTATGCGAAGATTTTTAATTTTAAAAACAAATGGGACTAATTTCAGTTTTTTCATTGTGCATTGTATAAATATTTCTGGAATCAGAGTAATGTTTTGCGTTGTTAGTATAATTATTCCAGCGACTTATTTATATCAATAGTTCGTTGTAACTTCTCAGATTGTTACAGGACTGGTTTTAAAATTGGTGTAGTTGGTGCAGTGCTTAAATTTTCGTATGATTGTGATATTTGGTCCTTAGATTCAAATAAAGGAGCACAAAAACTTAAGGCATTAAAGGAAACTGTTATCCCCGGAACTATAGTTTTTCCAAATGAGGTCAGCATATTTTGAGAGTGTTTAAGTTTTACTCTAAAATCTATTTTGTGTACCATGAAAGTTTCCATAATATAAATATATTTTGGTGCCGAATTTATGTAGTAACTTTTTTCGAAATATTCTATCAAGGTTTCTAAAGTTTCAATTGAATATTAAGCGGGTCGTTTTATAGAAATATCAAATTCTTTGCACATGCAGAAGAAACCATTATTAATCTTCCTTTCTCAGAATGTTCTTTTGCATCTGTATATTGTGCAAAGAATAAGCAGTATATTGTCATATTTGAACGCATAATTCTTTATCCATTTTATTTGCGGTTAATATATTTTTTTATTTTAAGCCACAATTCTTGTCTCAGATAAACTTCTGCAATTTTTTTTAGTTTCTTCGTATAAAGTAATTGTGCTGTGATAATTTTCAGATTATACCATATAAAGAGAAATGTTCAGAATTTGAAGCAGGATGGAATAATGCTATGGACAAAATATTTTCTTTGGTTAGTTGGCCAGTTTCTTGAACTGCCAGACTTGTGATAAGTGTTTATTTTCACATTTCACTATTTCAACAGGTGATAAACGTATTTTCGGGAATATCTGTGTTTTTCAAATTTATTAGTGATTTTTTTAAAACTCATTGACATGTACCACATATATTATTACAAATTTCGCACTTTTTTGAATTGGGTCACATCAATTCTGTAGTTTGTTCATTCAAATATATTTACAATGTACTATAAGTCTGCTCAGTATTGAATGCAAAATGTTCAAAAAATATTTGATCTAGATCTCAGACATGTAATAAACCTTATAATGTGAGCTACATATATAAGTAGAATGGTATTTAGTTTTGTCAAAAATTTCTTCTTGTCAATTTCATGTATGAAACAAGGTGAATGTAGAAATAATTGCTTTGCTTGCATGTGATTCGCAGACTACGTATTGTAATAGCGCAAATTTTATGAAAATATTTATATAAAAATAGCGAATTTTAAAATTATTCGCAAAGGAATAAAACTTCTGTTCTTCTTCTCTGTGTGAATGCTTGTTTATCTTTCATGATATTATAACTGAGAGCACCTAAACAGATAGGATGTCATACCAGATGAATGGATGACATTTTTGGGTAATTTGGATACTTATAGATTTAGGATTATATTCAGATTCTGTCATTTGAGAAAGTACTATCTGTCAATCATTTTTTCTTCCTTATCTTGATTAAATGATATATTTTTGCAGTGGATGATAAGTATTCTTTATGAGAATATAAATACTTGCAATGAGAAAAGGTGATACATGAAAAAGTAATTAAGTGGGTCTGCTCTGAAAAAGTAGCAAATCTCGCAGCCATTAATTATTACTTATGTGTGATCTGTTGTACACTTTTTTCATAAAGGTAATTAATCTGGTCTACTTATGTAACTGATGAGAAATATGTCAAGAGAACACTGTGCATTAAGCAGCTCAGGAAATTTTCAATAATAAATGATTGGACAATATTTGTTCTGATTTTAAATTTACATGAAATAAATGTCAGCAGAAAAGAAAATTTTGAAGCACAGAAAGGCAAAATTATTTGTGCTTATATTTAAAGGCCATAACTCACTTTCAGTGCTATGATATCTATGCAATAATTCCAAGAATGAATCAAAATTGGATAATGTGAACAAAATAGTTCTGCAATGTAATTGCATTTAAATGCTTTTAATTAGTTGGTTTTAATTAAGAATAAATCAGGGGTGCTAGAAACATCTACTAAATTCAGACAAAAGCTGTATAGCAGATAAAAATCCCAGAGTGATTCCTGTACTTTTATCACTTTTGCTCAAATTTGCTTACTTTAGTTTCCAACATTGCAAATTTATTCCCTTGTATAATATGCAAGTAATAGAAGGTTAAGCATTGAATAAAACTACTTTGATTATGCTTGTTGGTAAATTCTGTATGCGTGTACACTGATATATTCTAAATAATTGTGGTTATGTTTCTGCGTATATGTTCTGCATATATTCGTCCATAGCTATGTTATAGAAGTTATATATGCTCTGTGTCCGTTCATAATGTAACTAGCAGTCAATAGGCAAGTCGTGAATGATTGTGAAGTATACTCAACGTAACTCCATTCATGATGACTCTACCATCACTTCGGTCTGTCTCTGTATGTTTATCTATTTGCGGTTATCTATGATCATAGGTGTACACGCTTGTAGATGTACGTATTAATAGATGTGTAATTATAATTATGTGTTTTTTAATTCCGATGTGTGGGATATGTGTTTGTGATTTGCATCTTAGTAGTAGACATGTATGTATTAAGGTGTAGGTTGTTGATGTATGATGCGTTGTCAGCTGTCCTTTATTGGCTGCAATGTCAGCTGTTTACATCGATGTTTCGTTTTTTTCTCTGGTGCCTTTCCCGCCAAAAATTGATCGACATCTATGGAAGAGAGTGATATTGAGTGCATTCTTAGCTCGTCATCTTTGCAAACCAAAAGTGAATATTGTTATGCTGTTGAGAATGGAATAGTGCAAATGAGTGGTTGCATGTTGTTGTGACGGAAAGTAAGCAAAATCTCACGTAAAAGGGATTGAGCGGTATAGCACATCTAGCACGATCAATACACGCATTCAAATACTACTAAGTACTGCTATCGGGGAAAATATTGTGGTTTGTATCCTTCAGCGGTTCACTCAAAGTAAAAGATTTCGCCAAGAACCGTCATATTATTAACTGAAAAGGAGCAGATACAAAAGTGAACAGATACCCAAAGAAACAGATACTCTTTTACATCGGTGTTTCGTGTTACAAAAGAGTATGCATCTGTTCACTTTATTAGATGCATTGTCACTTGAAAAACAATTTCGAAACTCAGTTGCGTAAAGAGGAAATGCGTATGCTGCACACTCGTGCGTAATAGGAGCTCTGCAATGTGAATAATTATTAAGATGGTCCCTCTTTTCCATCAATAGTCCACTCCTTAATGGGCGGAGCGCCCAATACAAAGAATTTTGGAGGGAATATGGGTTGGTATATAAGAGCATCTGCATTGCACACTTTTTTATTTCTAAGCGAAATTTGTGTTGAGTTGACGAACTGTGGTATGGCTCGTACAAAGCAAACTGCTCGCAAATCTACGGGTGGAAAGGCACCTCGGAAGCAACTTGCAACCAAGGCAGCACGAAAGTCGGCTCCGGCTACCGGCGGAGTAAAAAAACCGCACAGGTATAGACCTGGCACGGTTGCTTTGCGTGAAATTCGGCGGTACCAAAAGTCAACGGAACTGCTTATCCGTAAGTTGCCTTTCCAGCGGTTGGTCCGTGAAATAGCTCAAGATTTCAAAACTGACCTCCGTTTTCAATCGTCTGCTGTGCTTGCCTTGCAAGAGGCTAGTGAGGCATACTTGGTTGGCTTATTTGAGGACACTAATCTGTGTGCTATTCACGCCAAACGAGTGACAATCATGCCCAAAGACATTCAATTGGCACGGCGAATTAGAGGAGAGCGAGCTTGAACGGCTACACGGTTGCTGATTACTCAGCGCCTTATACCCAACGGCCCTCATTAGGGCCACAAATATATGAATCGTACATTTTCCGAAATCTCATTGATTAGTCAGTAACGTGTGTGTGCAATTCGGAGTTTTATATACAATTGTTTTGTGCTTATTATTGTAATTGCTTACTATCAGAGATAAGTTGATGTATGAATAAAAGACGCTATTCTATCTCGTTCTAGCTCACCAAAAGTATGCAACATTCTTCGTGTTGAATAACGAGGTTCTAATGCAAAGGGCGAGATATCGAAGTAAATATAGCTGCCAATGCTGAATATTACTTTGTCCCACCAAAAGTCAAATCTTAGGCTTAGGGATCCTCAAATTTAAAATATAGCACAATTTATTGACAGAAGCCTCCTCGACAGATAATTTAACAAAGTTATTCACTTTGGTCTCAATTAGAATTCCGGTTCCCTCGCAATGACTGGACGATTTCGGTTTCGAGTAATATGCATGATCATTATGGAGGTCTTTAAAGTTTATTTAGCAGAAGCATCGTTAAAATATACAATACATATTACCATAATCGCCTTTGACTAGCTAAATGATATAGAGGATCCTCAAATTTAAAATATAGCACAATTTATTGACAGAAGCCTCCTCGACAGAAAATTTAACAAAGTTACGATTATGTAATCAATACTATACCACTTACAGATCTTTTGTGGCATTCCGACATTTAACATTTCTCAATACAACTCTAAGAGATAATTTAACAAAGTCACCATTATCAAATCAATACAATACCACTTGCAGGTATTTTGTGGCATTCCGACATTTAGCTTATTTAACACTTGAAGACCATAGTTTAGAAAACTAAGGAAACGCACGCTTCATATATTTGTGGCCCTGATGAGGGCCGTAGGGTTAATATTCTACATTGGGAAACAATCTAGACTTTCTCAGCAGTTTTCTTGGGAAGTAGTACAGCCTGAATGTTAGGTAAGACTCCACCTTGAGAAATAGTGACTCCAGCTAGCAATTTGTTTAGCTCTTCGTCGTTCCTTACAGCCAACTGCAGATGCCTCGGATTAATACGAGTTTTCTTGTTATCACGTGCAGCATTCCCTGCGAGCTCCAATACTTCAGCTGCCAAATATTCCAACACAGCAGCGAGATAAACGGGTGCCCCAGCGCCCACGCGCTCAGCATAGTTGCCTTTCCGCAGTTTACGATGAATGCGACCAACTGGGAATTGCAACCCAGCCCTTGACGATCTTGAGACGGACTTACCCGAAGCTTTGGCCTTACCACCTTTCCCACGTCCTGACATAATTTGGAACTAAGATTGTAATGCAAATGGCATATCCTCCCACGTATTTATAGACCTATCAAGGTCTTGTCAACTAAGCTCCACCTCTTTTGGCGGGAAATTATGGGTGTGGCT